CAAGAGAGGTCAGTCCGTTGCGGAGTCCTGTTGTCTGGACAAACAGATTAACATTGAACATGTGACACAGATAATTAGTCCATAACGTCATGTTAAGATTTATTTATTTTATTTTTTTAGATTTGGCTGAGTAATCAGTCGAAAAAAAACATAAATTCATTCCTAATTTGTTAAATTTAAAAAGGAAATTTGTTCATTTTTATTTGATTTAGTGAATTTTACTTATTAGTTTCGTCTGACTTCCTCAAATTGTTGCTTCTGTTTTTATCCAAACGTTCACAAAAAGGCCAACCTCACAAGTTTTTAGTTGTCTTTAAAGGTTTTTCCTCCACAGTCCTGACAAGTTGCCTGGTTTTTGTTTTTGTTATTTTTGTTGTTATTTGGTCAGAACCGAAGCTTCGAAGTCGCTCATTTATCTGTAAACAACTCCAACACTGAAGTGATGCACTGAGGCATTCTGGGTAGTTTCTGTGAGGCTCGGTTTGTTTCTGATCAGTCTCTGTGTCTGCAACACTTCATGAGAACTATTTACCCTATTTATTCATGTATAATATGATCTCCAGTATAATACCATCATTTTTTGAGCTTACAAAGCATAAAATTCAAATTATCAATAAGTCGTGTATAATACTATCCCCCCATTTTATGGATGATTTTTAGGGTTAAATTTCTAGTATTATACATGAATAAATACAGTAGTTGCAGTGATGCATCATGGGTATTTCAGCTTTATGTTAGAATCGTGTGGATGAAATAAAAAAACAGAGAAAAATAAAATATTCAGACTTGTGTAGAAGGGTCTCTGGTGGTCTTAATTTTCCACACGAGTCAGGATTTACCAGAATAATCCTGTCTGTTTGTTAAACTGTCAGATTATTTGGCTCAGATCTTGTTCTTTGCACGATGTTGATGAATGTAAACACTGCCTGAAGGGAAACGAGACTTTTMTTTATTTTAAAACCTTGTTTTCTGTCATCTGAACAAACTGGTCCTTTAATGTTCAGAACCAAATGTTTTTGTTTGTAGTTTTTTACTGTTTGTGCTGCTTTAAATGATGTTGTTGACAACTTTAATCAAAGAAGTTGCCWAGCAGAATTTTCTCCTTTAAAATTGGTCTGAATTTCTGAATTCATCCATTAAAATGGCCAAAGAATCTTATTTATTTCTGATAAAACTCCTCGCTGGTGGACAGGCTGTTACTGGGTCTGATCACTGATGTTTTCATGGTTTTTTTTATTTCTTTAAAACAGATTTTCACTCTTTCACAGCTCTGGATTTAAGCTGAATGTTTCTGAAGGGTGTGTTTCCCAGCCCAGCCACTRGAGGGCGATAACTGTTACACGCTGTTCCTTTTAGACCTCACTTGTTACTCCACTTCAAACTTTATTCTCACGTGTTGATTTAAAATCCAGAGTTTATTTTACATATTGTTTATTTTAAAATGGATTGAATGAAACTGTTTTAAATTCTGTCAGAAGATGTTTCTGTTGCTTTGTGTGAAATTGTTC